ATGGTGGCTAGGGAGACAGTAGAGCTGCAGGTTCCAATCCCAGAGCCGTCAATGCCTATTGCTGTGACCTTGGGGCCCTTATTTTCTCTTTCAGTCTGGGTTCACCCAGAAATGAGGTTGACAAAAACTATCTTGCACAGTTGTGTGAAGTATACAAGACTCAGCACGTCAAATGGCCTGGCTCAGAGCGGGTGCTGGGAAAAGGGCAGCCTTCGTTAGCGTTATTGTTGTTATTTATAGAGTAAGTGTCCCAGTGAGGGCCTGTACTGTAAAAGCTGTCTCTTAGCCAGGTGAGGAAGGATGTTAAAGGAAGGAGCTGAATGGCAAAGGACCTTTCCTAGTACCCGCTTAGTGGCTGGCTGCGGACATGTCACCCGGAGAGAAGACGTGGTACCAGAAATTAACTCAGAATAGACATGACTTAGGGCAGTGCTTGGCACTGGGTCTTGGAACAGTCTTTCTGCTCCTTACCTTAAATTTGGGAAGTAACACCCCTGGTAGAGGAGGCAAGTGCAAATAAAACCCACAGCTCTGTCCCACCCTGCTTTTTCTAGCTGCAGAGACACCTCTTTTGAGTTGGGTATGCTATTCCAGTTCCCTGACTGCTCTGCACATAGTAGGATCACGGTGGTCCTGTATCCTAATGAGTGAATCAGCAAATGAATGGCTGGTATCTCCAGCCATGGACTGCAGAGGGCTCTTAGCTGGGGGGAGGCTACGAGGGCTGGGGTCCTAACAGATTTAGTCCTACTAGGCCTGTGTTTTTAGGATGGGGACTGAGGATAGTACTCACTCCTGCCCGGACACCTTTCTCCCTCTGCGCTCTGAGAAGGCTGGTAGCCCTAACGGCCTTTTCTCTGGGGCCTGAAAAGGTCAGTTGTGATGAACATAAGCCAGAGGAGTCCCCCAGGTGTCCGCATTTGCCTCCAGCTGTTCTGGGGAAGCAACCAGGGGCCTTGAGACCTCAGTCTCGAGCCCACTAAACAGCTGACAGGAAGTATCTTCTCATTATCTGAACTGCACAGCAACCTGCGAAGGTTAGCATTCTCGCCCTCCATCTTAGAGATGAGAAGAGAGACTCAGGGGAAATGGCTAGTCCGAAGGTCCCGCAGGACTGTGCCATGGCCTGCCTCTGAACAGCCTGCCTGTGCCACGCCACGCTGGTTTGGTGGCAAGTCACCTCAGCGTGTTTCCTATTTGTCAGAAGCAGCCGCAAAGTACCTCTCAGGTAACGACCCAGCTTTCCCTGAGCGTCTTAGCACTGGGCTGCCATCCAAGGTCAAGTGCAGCAATAGAACTGATCAGGGCCACTGAAGACCAGTCTCCCTCCTAATCAGGAATAATCAGCAACGGCTTTCTCCTTCTCCTCCCTCTGATCCTATTATTCCATTCATGAGTCGGAATCTCACAGTGTGGCTTCCAGAGGCCCGGGGCCTGCTGCCTCAGTGAACAGGAATGGGGGTGGGATGGGGCTGTGTGATGCCTTTGCTCCTTCTAGAACCTCCCACGGTTCAGCCCTTTAAAAATTTTCTGCTGCCCTGGCCGGCTTGGCTCAGTGGATAGAGCGTCAGCCTGTGGAATGAAGAGCCCCAGGTTCGATTCTGGCCAAGGGCACATGCCTGGGTTGTGGGCTTGATCCTCAGTGGGGGGCCTGG